GGATGTCTCCAAAATAAAAGAATCTTTATTCTTGCACAGTTCTGTTCTGAAGCCTTGCTCATGTTTTGTTGGAATGTCAATGAATGGAAGCTGCTGATCCCAGGAAATGGTATTTCTCTACTGCGGGACCCTGCCTAAATACCTTGCCATCATTCCTGGACACATACTTATTTGTACTCTCACTGGGTTGGCTGAATCAGTGTTTTTAATCCTGGCTTGCACATCAGAAGCATCTAGGGATTTTTTTTTTTTTTTAAGATTGAGATGCAGCCAAGGCCTTGCTCAGACCAGTGAGCCAGAACTTAGGGGTTGACTCAGGCAGTGCGATTACTTTAAAACTTCTCAGATGATTTAGATGTACAGCCAGGGTTGGAAATTAAATACAGTTCAGCAAAGGACACAGTCTTGGGGCTGGGGAGGAGACTGCTCAGTTGGTTACACTCTTGCTCTGCCAGCACAAGGACCTGAGTTGGACCCTCAGAACCTGTGTAAAGATGCTGGACATGGTGGGGTGGGCTTGTACTCCGGGCTGGAGAGGTGGGAACAGAAGGCCCCCTGGGTTTATTTCTTAGCCAGTCTACCTTACTCGGTGAGCTCCAGGCCAATGAAAGCACCTGTCTCAAAAAGAAGGTAGAAGGCATTTCTAAGGAAGACACTGGAAGTCGTTCTCTGGCCTACAGTGGAATGAACACACATGTGCAGGCACACCCAACCTCACACACATGTATATCCAAATGTTCACACACACATACACACATTAGGAAGTTGGTCTGGAGAGATGGCTCTGCAGTTAAGAGCACTTGCTGTTCTTGCAGAGGACCCAGGTTCTAGTCCCCGCAACAACCACCTGTAACTCCAGATCCACGGGATCCAACGCCCTCTTCTGACCTCCCTGAGCACCAGCCATGCACATGGTACACATACACGCTTGGAGACACAACGCTCATACATGTAAAATAAAATAGATGATTCTAAAAACAATAGCATTTAAAAACATAGATGGGAGGGAGAGAAAGTCTCTACAGAGTGGTAAATTTAACAGACAGAAGTTCATCAGAGCTGGACAGTGAGCAGCTGCCTACAAGCACTTCTCTGAGTGTCTGGATAGCACCTCCAGAGTTCTATGCAGGTGTGGTCTGGCCCAACCCAAACTGTCTTCCTACATGACTCAGCCTCTAATCCTGTTTGGGGATGAGGTAGGTAATATAAGCACATGACTCCAGGGCTGTTTTTCACTGTGAACATTCTTCTTCTCTGAAGAAGATAACTCTGGGCAAATTCTTCAGAATGGGTTCTGCTAGTTGTGATCTTTTGAAATGGTGGAACTCCTTAGCCAGTCCTCACAGAGACTGTAGGACACAAACAGATTCATTTGAAGAAAGACTGGCCTGGAGAATGTCCTGATGAAGCTGAACTTCTCTTTTTAGTTGTTTTGTTGTTGGTGGTTTCTTTGTTTGTTTGTTTCCTTTTCTATAATGTGTCTTGTTTTGGTCAAATCCACCTCCCATGTTCCAACTCTTCTTAAGTCTTTCTCCTATCTCTACCTTATGTCCGCTTTCAGACAGATACATAGAATTAGATAGATGATAGATAGAGATAGATAGAAAGATAGATATAGATAGGTAGATAATAGATGATAGATAGATAGATAGATAGATAGATAGATAGATAGATAGATAGATAGATAGATAGCCAGTTAGTGGATCTGAAGGCATGTGGATGTAGGGCTGTGCACTGTAGCCTGAGAAACACACCATGGGTCTCAGCCCTGAAGAAAGCAACTTCATCACCCCAGCAGTCATCAACTTCCTCTAGCTTCTCCATAGATATGCAGCCCTGTGAGTCCCTTCCCATCCATGAGAAAGATGAACTTCCGTAATGTCTCTTAGGCCAGTGAGATGGCTCGGTGGGTCAAGGTGGTTATCTCCAAGCCTGATGACCTGAGTTCCAGCACCAGGAAGGATAGCAAAAAGAGAGAAAAAACTAACTTCCAAAAGTTTTGCATTTGTCTTCTGACCTACACATGCATGTGGACACATGTGTACCAGCCACATACATAAATAAATAAATTAAATACAAAAAATTTTTAAAACGAAAATGTGTCTTGAGGTCTGGGAATGTGGTTCAGCTGGTAGAGCTCTTGCCTACCATGTACAAAGCTCTGATTTTGATCCCCAGCATCCAAGAAACTGGTTGTGGGGGCAAGACTGTAATCCTAGCACCCAGTAGGCAAAGACAGGAGGAACAGTTGTTCAAGGTCATTCTTACCTACACAGAGAGTTCAAGGCCTACCTGGGCTTCTTGGAACCCTATGGTAATTTGAATGAACATGGCACCCATAAGGTCTGAATGTTTGGTTCCCAGTTGGTAGAACTATTTGGGAAAGATTAAGAGGTGTGGCCTTGTTGGAGGAGGTTTCAGGGGGTGGGTTAGATCTACTCTGCCTGGTGGTTATCTCAAGACATTAGCTCTCAGCTGCTACTCCAGAATCACACCTGCCTGCCTGTTGCCACACTACCTGCCATGATGGCCATGGACTCTACTACCTTCCTATTATTCAACAGAAAATGGTCCTTCAGTTCAGAGGTGACAGCCGTGAATGAACTTGTCATTCAGAAAAGGTGCAAGTTGACACAGATAGAACACAAACACAATGCATTTTAAGGCACTATATCCCTGCAATTTCATTCCCTTCCTTAGCCTTTGTGTGCTACCTTTATCCCAATCTGAAGAAGGGTCATTCTGAAATGTTCAAATTTAGGGTTTTGTTGTTCTTGTTCTTGTTCTTGTTACAACAAGAATCAGTATGTAAAAATACAGTTTTTAAGGATTACATAAAAAGGGTTATTCCAGAAGACTTAAAAACATGCAATCTTTTTAAAGAAGGAAGTACATAAAACATAACAGTGAAAAATCCCTAAGAATTTGAGGAAACTTTGCCAGTTCTAACATAAATCCACTAATCCAGTCATTACTTAATGAAGCTGGACCTTAGTGGAAAGTCTGCAGCAGGAAGGAGGATCACGAGGCCCCTCCAGCTCACTCCGACCACAGGAAACTCACCCTGCTGAGGACTAGTGGGACAGGGGAGAATGAAGCCACTGTCATCAGGGCTCGTTTAATTCATGTTTTGACCCAAATTAAACAAAATGTCATGACTCAACTTCTCCTTTTTTATAATAACGCTTCAGCCAAGCAATCTGTGGAAAATTGGGAGTGCCAATTAGCTCGGTAAACTGGCAGGCCACGCACTGTCTGCTAGCCAAAGTCATTCCTTTTCAAAAAGGATTTGTTTTATTACTATGGATGTGTGTGTGCAAGCACACAGGGAGGTCAGAAGATGCCATGAGATCCCCGAGAGCTGGTGGTTGTGAGCCACTGGACTTGGTGCTGGGAACTGAACTCAGGTCCTTGAACTGCAAGTGCTCTTAACCACTGAGCCATCTCCCCAGTCTCTCGGGTCATTCTTTATCCCGTGTCCTTTGGAAATGCCACAGCTGTACAGAAGCTGTGCTACCTTTCCAACTCCATCTTGTTTTCTATCCAAGCAATCTGATGACACATTGGGTGTCTCTCTTACTCCTGTCCTGACTCTGAAGCACCTTTCTTCTTCTTCAGACCTTTATTCAGAGACGCATGATTAAGCAGCTCTGGGAAGGGCACACAAAGTTAATAACTGCCTTCTAGGTCCCCAGGGTAAAGACCTGCCCTTCTTATATAGAGATGCTTGTGTTCACTGATGTGTGGGCACCTGAAGCTCGGGAAAGGGGGAATCACAGAATGACAGCAACTAGCTGTCTGTTATGCTTTCATTCATTTATTTATTTATTTTGAGGCAGAGCTCCTGTAACTCAGGCTGCCTAGGTATTTGAACTTGAGCCCTTGACCCTTCTTTTCTCCATGACTCAAGTGCTGGGATTCTAGGATTGTCCCACCATTGCCAGCATGGCACACACAGCCATTTGTAAATGGCAACATGTGTTTCCTAGGAATGGTGATACAGCTGAAGAGGGCAGACTGTGGGAGCCTAAGTTACATTTTAAGTTTTAATTACTATGCCTTAGAGATCCATGAAACAAAAACGCCTTTTATCTGCAAGCCCCTTGCCCAAGGACAGATAGTTCCTGAAATGCTGGAGGCTCTTGCTGATAGGCAATAACAAGCCACATGTTTTCACTCCCCTAAAAAAGTTTGTTTGACCCATCTGCACTGGCTGTGCTTAATTACATGTGGGTGGGAGGTTCACAGGCAGGAAATACATCAGGATGTACACTTGCCCCTGATTGGACCTGATGGGAAATACTTAAGCCCCTGCAAACCGTGACTTGGGGCCATTTTCCTGGGAAACTGGGTATGGACCTGGCCAGAGCCCATCCACCTGGCCAGTATTTAATTAAAGCTTGCCTCCATTTGGCTTTAAATTGTGGCAGTGGTCTTATTCTCCGCCAGTAGGATTAACAAGACCACAAGCCCAGAAGAGAGACTGCTCCCACTAGCAACAGAGGAAAAACGGACACGTTGCACAGTGAATTCCATTGAGATTGGGGTGGAGAGGCAAAACCCTCAAAGAATTGTGATCTGAAAGAAGAAATTCTCCAGCGTTCTAACTTTCAAAGTGAGGACTAGGCTTTCCCCCACCTCATCCACAGTTTAGCTACTAGTATGTGAAAATATGATAGACATAAACATCTTTAAATTATGTGCACATGTGTATGTCTGTGAATTGATTTGTGCACATCAGTACAGTGCCCAAGGAGGCCAGAAGAGGGTGTTGAATCCTCTGGAGCTGGAATTATGCGCGACTGTGAGCTGCCCTATGTGCATGCTGGGAACTGAACTCAGGTCCTCTGTAAGAGCAACACGTGCTCTCAGCTGCTGAGTCAGTTCTCCAGTCCTAGATCACAGATTTTTATCTTAGACTTATGTATAAAGTAAGCAGTGAAAGAGCATAATAACTACAAACACTAGAAAGAGGAGAAGATAAATTCGCAATACGTTACAGCGGTTCAGTGGATGGATGGTCCTATTACAGCTTAGGTGGATGGGTGCATCTTTCTGGGCCTCCATTTCCACATCTGTAAAATGGGATGGAGAATTATACCCTCTCAGAGGGCAGTTTCTTGATTTAAAATGGCATGCAAGCAAACACATTTTTTAATTAACCAAGTGTTGTACTCATGCAGAAGATTAAGTATAGAATATCACAGCCAGGTATGGTCAATAGGGTGTCTTCAAACCTATCAGATTATAGTCCCCAAGCCTGGCTGCTGTTCTTTGCCCATTTCACTGAGAAAAAATTCAAGTTGGTTATCTGCCCTGCCTTCCTGGCACTGGTTTCCCACCACTAGAGAGGTGGGTAAATAACCACTTTGGCAATTTTTGTGTGTGTGGTGTTGAGAATTAAAGCTCAGGCCTCACAGACACTAGGCCGGCATCCCATTACTGAGCTATATTCCCACTCCTCACAAGGGTTTTCTTTTTAATATTCATCATTTCATTTTAATATTCATTTCTACCTATTCTACAGTGAAAGATATTTGATGTGTTCCTAGATTATATGGAACAAAGGGGGACATGGGCACTGAGACGACTCTTTTTGACAGTCAGCTTGGTTGGATTTAGACTAGTCAGGGAAACACAGCTCTGGGTGTGTGTGTGAGGGTGTGTGCAGAGAGATTTAACTGAAGAGGGAAGACCCACCCTGAATGAATAAGGTCCTATCTCACAGGCTGGGTCCTTGAACTGAATGAGAAAAGACAAGCAAAGAGCAGCATGCATGTATCTGCTTCCTGACTGTGGGTCAGTGAGACCAGCCGCCTTAGCTCTCACCGGCCCCCATGTCTTCTCCATCACCATCGACCGTAAACCCAACTGTATGTCGAAACTAGCCTTCCTTCCTTGAGTTGCTTCTGTCTCCAACATTTGTCACAGCAACGAGAAGAACAACCAAGAGAGGTGTGAAGTTCAGTAGAGTGGCCCAGTTACTCCAATGAAGTGCACACTGACCTCTGGGAATTTGGTCTAAGTTCTGCTTGGAACCAGTGTATGTCACCTGACCCCTCTAATCTCTCCATTTTCTTCTGACTTTAGAACTCTGCCATTCAGAGAGCACAAGAGCCAAGCAGTTGACACCCTGGCGATATCATAGTGAAGATTTACTAGAAATGACATTGTCAATGACAGTCGCCCAAGCTTCCCGAGGGCTGCCCGCAAAGCCCCTCCTGCAGCCTGCTACTGCACTGGTAACATAACAACTAAACTTGTATCAGAGGCTGCATATTGTTTTTCATTTCCCTTCCCAGAACTTGTAAAAGATGAACATCTGAAGAAATATTCAGAGAACAGAGATGTTTTGATTGGCAAAGCATGACTCACATAGATACTGAATACCTAGGCCAGTTGTTTTTTATATACAAAGAGTTGCAAGGGATGGGAAGATGACCCAGTTAATAAAGTGTCTGCATGTCAGCAAGATGACCTGAGCTCAGATTCACAGCAGTCAAATAAAAAGGCTGGGCATGGCAGTGCTTCTTTACAATCCCATCACTGGGAGGGTAGAGATAGGAGGATCCCTGGGGTTTGCTGACCAGCAAGTCTCACCTAATTGATGAGTTCCAAGTTCAGAGAGAGACTTTTTCTACAATAATAATAGTAATAGAGGAGAGAGTGAGCAATAGAAAGAGACATTCAACATTGACTTCTGGTCTCCTCATGCATTCTCTCTCTCTCTCTCTCTCTCTCTCTCTCTCTCTCTCTCTCTCTCTCTCTCTCTTTCTCTCTCTCTCTCTCACACACACACCACACACACACACAACACACTCATATACACACTCACTCTCTCACACACATAGATGAACAACATACACATACATGCAACACATACATATGTACACCAAAAGAAAAAGAGGATGTGGAAAGGGAAGTTGTTATTAAACATTGGCAGAGACAAAACAAATGGGACTTGGTTCATGGGAGCTAAAGTTATAGTTGTGATTCAAGAAGATAACATTGAACTGTTAAGAAACTGGATGCCAACAACTCAACTGTCACACGGGTGGCCCTGCTTATCTGATGGGTCACAAAACCAAGTCACGTACTGGTGGGATAGGGAAGGGTGCAGGGGGGGAGATTAGAGAGAGACGGAAAGAGGAAGTAGTCAGAACACATTATATGCATTGTGAAATTGTAAAATAACAAAAGTAATCATTATTAAAAAGAAACTGGGTGTCCTTTTGTGCCCTGGGGACTCTCCAGGCATCTCATTAGTAAGTGAGTGAGAGGTGACTCTCTTAGTTTGTGAAAATGCCTAGTAATGTCCAGAACAGTGTAAGTGATTATATGATGGCCACAAGCACCCTCGCCAAAACCATCATTAAAATCTTGAAAGACAAACGTTTTCAGCAGTTTAAAAAGCTAACCAACAGAGTGTCAAATTAAGAGTCTTGTCTCTCAACCATTTCTGAAAAGTGTCAGACTATTAAGACTAAGGATACAAACTTGTCTTTCCTTTCCTCTGACTTCACAGAGTGGGTAAAAGCTCAGGTGGTGCACACCTGCTGCTGTAGGATGGTCTTTCTGTGTGCTGTGAATATGTGTTGCTCTCATTGGTTGATAAATAAAGCTGCTTTGGCCAATAGTCAGGCAGAATAAGGTTAGGCAATATATTCAAACTAAAGAGGTAGATGAAGAAGGGCAGAGTCAGGGCAGATGCTGTGAATCGCCCAAGAAGCGAGATGTGAAAGAACAGGTAAGCCATGGGCCATGTGACGAAACAAGGATTAATAGAAATGGGTTAATGGAAATGTAAGAGCTAACTAGTAATGAGCCTGAGCTATTGGCCAAACATCTGTAAGTAATATTAAGTCTCTGAGTCAATTATTTGGGAAGTGGCTGCTGGGTATTTGGGAGTTGCTGGCTGGACAGAGAAACCTCCACCTACACACCTGTTGTTTGCTCTGAATATGGAGTGTCCCCCATAGGCTCATGTTTGAACACTGTATCTCCAGATGGTGGCGCTGTTTGGGGAGGTTGTGAAATCTTCCAGACCATAGCCACCTTAGCAGAATAAGTCACAGGGGGAAAGCCTTGCAGGTGGCAGCTGCTTTTGGCTCTGGCTTGAGCAGTCTGCCCCCTTGTCCTTTTGTCCATATCTTTTCAAGATGTGAACAAGTCCTGCTATAGGCTCCCTGCCAGAGTGGCCATGGCCTCTGTTCCATGCCTTCCTAATTACAACGGACCCAAACTAAAGGATCTATTTACTTTCAAGTTGCTTCTGTGTAGTACTTTTGTCACAGTGGTGAGAAAAACTAACTCACACAAAGCCTGAGGGATGTAATGATGTCAGTGGCTACTCCAGGCCTTCCTCAGAGAGGGACCATCACAGGGATGACCCAGATGGAACTGGGTGATGCTCTGCCTGCAGGCAGAGCAGGAAACACACAGGTCCTGGTGCCCAGGCTGCGTGTGCACTCGTGTTGCCTTATGGAGCTGAGAACACCGTGGTGGAAGAGAGGGTTAAGGGCTTCCCAGAACACCCTCCCGGCTTGTTCCTGTTAACCATGCATAGGACTAGGAGGCTTCATACTCAGTTGTTCTAAATGTGTCATTCTAACAGGGCTTTCCAGAAAGGGTCGCCTTTGTGGCAAGGACACTTGTACACTTTCAGACAGGAAATCTTCTAACTCCCTCTTCTTCCTCAACAGTTTCCCATCCCTTCTTCAACAATCCCAGTGGCAGAAGACAACACACAGTCCATACAAAGGAAGGTAGCAGGGGCCAGTATTTGTCCTAAACAATATGGCTATTGACTTTATGAGTTCCGTGAGCATCCAGAATCATATTGTCTGAAACGATGGACAAGAGAATAAATATGTCAAAGACAAATGCAATGTATGAAATAATAACAAGCCTTAAACACCCCCCCTCCACGCAGGGCAGCACCCTCAGACTCACAGAATGAAAGACTGGAGGTTACACTGTAGACAGCAACAGCGTGGATCATTCCAGACTCGCTCCAAGCCCGGAATGCTATGAAGCACACTGTAGCTATAGGTAGCAGAGCTCTGACAGTAATGGTTGATAACAAGAAGGCACATATTCTAGGCTCACAAGCCTGCTCCTTTGCCTTTGTAAGCAGTGAATTGAGAGTAGCAAGTAACACAGCACACAAATGAGCATGCGTACTGAGAACACTCGCTACGGAGTGGGGAGACTCAGACGTGGATAGCGGCTCCCTTGGAGAGTTTTCAGTCTAATCGTGAAGTGAGAAGGCGTACACCAAAGGTTGGTGAGTGGTCATGTGAATGAGCTTCCAAGAGAGGCAGTGAGCGAGAGGAAGATGGGCATTTAAATGAGCTCACAGGAGTTCAAATGTGGCCCAGGGGCTGGAGAGGTGGCTCAATGGTTAAGAAGAGCACTTGTTGCTCCTGCAGAGGGTCTGGGTTGGATTCCCAGCACCCACATGGTGGCTCACAACCATCAGTGACCTCCATGGACAACTCCCTGCGAGGATATGGAGACAGGCAGACATGTGAGGCTCTGGCCAGGCAGGCCAGTCTATTTGGCAAAATCAGGCCCTAGAGAAGAGATCTACAGAAGTTCAGTGAGATGCATAAACTTTGGGTCTGGCTAATCTCACTGAGTAATGCTTTTCATTTGAAAGTTCTTTTCAATAAAGTTTTAATTATTAAAAAAAAAGAGCTGATAGCATCTAAGAAATGATACCCGAAGTTGTCCAGTTGTTCTCTAGTGTGCCCAAGCGAAACGCACACACACACCCTCACACATACCAGGAAAACCCATGCACACACACATACATGTGTTCCCTCACATATACCATAGACACATCCCCAATCCCACACATGTACCCTCACACATACCGTGAATATACACACAAATGTATATCCTCATAGATATCATAAACGCACACCAAAAAATAATTAATTAGTTAAATAGGAGCCAGGGCATGAAGTATGCAATAGTAGAATGGGCTATGAGAGAGACCCGGTCCGATCCATGCATGTTCTCATGAAATGGATCTGCAAGGCACTGTCTAGTGTGTGCACCAGGCACACAG